CTTCTTTTTCTTTTTTTTTTGAGTTGGAGTCTCACTCTGTCACCTAAGCTGGAGGGCAGGGACACTCTCACGGCCATCCCAGCATCAACCTGCTGGGCTCTGGTGATCCTTCTGCTTCAGCCTTCCAAGTAGCTGGAACTACAGGTGTGCACTACCGCGCCCGGCTAATTTTTGATTTATTGTAGAGACGAGGGCTTGCCAAGTTGCCCAGACTGGTGTAGAACCCAAGGGCTCAGGCAACCCACTTGCCTTGGCTTCTCCCAAAGTGCTGGGATGACAGGCTGAATGCCTTCAATAAATCCTCCCAGGAAACTTTTGGCTGGAATGTCCAGGCAGCTACAGGGGTGACCTTTGTATCCGGCCAGCTGAGCGGGGAAAAGAGGCCTTGTGTCCTGCAGGGAGGGAGAGGCAGCCTGGGAGTGAGAGTATCCACCTGGGGCACCCTGGGCTTACTCGCCCCCCACTCTCAGGAGGTCTGGGGTGGTCTCCTACCTGGCGGCAGGGGGAGTCGAACCTGGGATGGCCACAGCTCAGCCTCCAGAGGGGGCGCCCAGGGCCCTGCCTGGGCTGTGACCTCCACGGTCACTGAGTCTTCCGAGAAGGAGAAGTTGAGTTTGTTCTCTTGGTAGGCGATGCCAGAGACGCACACTCCAGAGACCCCAGTCGGGCACATGGGGTCAAAGGTCACACCAGCCTGGGTGACCCTGTGGGAGGAAGAGACTCATGCCAAGGGCAGGTGGGGGGAGGCTGCCCTCTGCCTGCCCCGGCACTCACCTGAATCCTGAGCACCCAAAGAGCACTGCCTGCAGAAAGCCCCCCATGCCTGTCAGGAAGTTCACGGCACCCGAGCCATCTGCATTCTCCGTCCACACCTGCAGGGGCCAGGGTAGCTGACACCAAGATCCCCAAGACACCGCCCGCCCGAGGCTGCTATCCCAAGGTCAGGCGGGAACCGCCAGGGCCGTCGCCCTGCTGCGACCTCCCTCGGCTGGGCTCCATGCCTGCCGCAAGGGGCCCCCGTGGGAGGCAGGTGTGGTCTGCAGCGGGCGACAGGCCGAGGCCATGCTGACCTTGAAGGGCTCGGCCACGTTGGCAAAGCTCCTGTCCAGCAGGCTCTGTGCCCGCGCCGCGTCCTTCAGCTCCATCCAGCCCACGGCAAACATGCTCTGGGGTCGGAGGTCAGAGGACACACTGGGTAAGGCCCCCCGCGTGGGTGCAGAAGACCGAGGCCAGCGAGGCAGGACCCCCCCAGCTGTTTACCCAAGTCATGGCAGGACCCTGGGGGGACGTCACAGCCTCATAAATCTCCAGGTTTCTCCTGCGCACGTCAGGACTCAGGGAGAAGGGAACGGGGTATCCCAGGAGCACGACGTCAGCCTGCTTCACCTCCTCCCCTGGACGGAACGTGCTGCTGAGGAGGGGCCGGCATTCCGGGACCGAGAGGGGGCCCCGGGGGGCAGGGAGGGGGCCTGAAGGAGCTGAGCCCACTCACCAGGCTCATACCCATCGAACTCAGGGTGGAAGTTCTGCTCCAGGTCAAAGGGCACCTTGATCTTCTCGGCCACCACCAGCCACTGGCGGGGAACGGGCAGGCCCAGGTCCTGGGCCAAGGCGGCGGCAAAGCGCAGGCTGGGGGCAGGGGTGAGAAAGGCCACAGCCCAGCACATCTGGCTGCCCCAGCCAGCGGGGGGGGCTCAGGCAGGCCACCACCCGGGAGGAGGGTCTGGGGTCTGACCTGTTCTGGACCAGGACGTTGGTGTACACCGAGTTGTTGACTCCCGAATGGTACTCGTCGGGGGGCATGACTCCTGGGTATGCAAGTCCAAGAGAGCGCTTAGTGCAGGCTCTCGGGACCTGCCCACATCAGCGGTCAGCGCCGGCCGGCCCTCGAGAGGCGCCCGGAAACGCCTGCCGGGAGCATCGATCCTCCCTCCCCGAGGCCCTGGCCCTGGTCCTACCCCTCAGATGGTATTTCTCCTCTCTGGAGCTCCACTCTACACGGCTGCACCAAAACTTGGCCACGGCGCTGACCACGTCCCAGCCTCCAGCCTCGCGGAAGAGCTGCAGGTCCTGGGGCCAGGAGGTGACACAGAGGTCAGGGCCCCGGTCTCTGCCCAGAAGGAAGGCCTGGCTCTGTGCAGCCTGCCTTCAGCCAGCTACCCAGGACTCATCCCAGACAGGAGTCGCATGGCAGGGGGCACGGCCACACCAGCTGTGTGGCACCCCTGGCAGGCACAGCGACACCTCACCTGGGTGGCATGGTAGTACAGCTCAAAGGCCAACAGCACAGCTCCATTGATGTGGATCTCCTGGGCCCCGTAAATGTCCTCAGGGCAGACCTCCAGGCCGGAGACTGCACTTTCCCAGGCAAACTTGGCCCCCTGAGGGGCAGGGGAGGGGAAGGGGCAGACCTGACACCGTTTGGGGGAGGGGCAGCCTGTTGTCTTCCTCAGGCCTCACCCTGCAGCCCACCGGGTCGAGCCCCATGGCGGGGCAGAGGGTGGAGGAGGTGGAGGTCCCACCAGCCCAGGGGCCCTGGTGGGTGCTGCTGCTCTTAGCACCCATGGTGTGTCCCCACCATGGGCCAGGTGGCTTCTGCCCAGTTTTCCCTGTGAGCTGACCCTGGGGCAGGGCAGTGAGGGGTGCCAGGGGGTCCCACCGCCCTCTCAGGTGTGGGCTGGGCATGCTGCTGAGGCCCCACAGGTCTCAGGGTGGAGAAGCCAGGGTGTCCCAGGCCTGCCCAGGGCGAGGGGTACAGGCCTTGGAGGGGGACAGGCAGCAGGCCTGCGGGGCCCTGCAGGGTGGGCGTCCAGGCCCCTCACCTGGTAGCCCAGGTTCCGGGCATTCTCCAGGGCCCCTCCCAGTGTCCGGATGCGGTATTCCAGGATGGCCCTGGCAGCTTCCGGGTGGAACATCAGGATATTCGGGAACATCCAGAGATCCTGAGGGCAAGGTCTCTGGTTCTGGGGCCGAGTGGGCTCTTCTCCCCCGCCTCCCAGCCCTGTTCTGCCCGGCCGGGCCTCCCCGCAGCCCACAGGACTGAGAGCCCTGCTGCTGCCTCCGTCCAACTCTGCTCTCCCCACCTGGGTGGCATGGTAGGACAGCCCGAAGTCCACCCACCAGGTCCGTCCTGGCCCTCCCTGCCCATCCACCCAGGGACGTCTCCCAGCCCAGACGCCCTGGGAGTTCTGGTCCTCAGCCTCGGAGGGCACCCCGGGCTGGAACTTGGGCTCAGCGGCCTCAGGCAGAGCCCGCCCCGGGGTGAGTGAATCGGCCTCTCTGAGCCTGTCAGTAAGCCGGGCCACGGTGCCAACTTCCCGAGGTTCAGAGGAGGGCAGCCCCGAGCCCTGCCAACCTCAGCCCTCCCTCCCCCATACCCTCCGCTGCCCCTGCCCCTCTCCTCGGCCTTCTGTACCCAGCCCCACTCAGCAGCCCCACTCAGCAGCCCCACGGTCTTTCCCGAATGTGTCACTAGTCTCCACAGCTCCCGCGGCCTGTGGGTAAATGACAAGCACCACCCTGTGCTTTTGACAAAGCCCTGGTGATGGGGGCCTTGGCGAAGGCCCATCCCCTGGCCCCACGAGGTCCCTCACACCCTCTCAACTTGGCACTTCTGCACCTTCCGGTCTCCTTACCCGGATGACCCTTTGCTACCAAGCTCCTACGCATCCTCTGCTGGGACGCCACCTTCTCCAGGAAGCCCCCTCTCTGCCACAGACCCTGTGCGTCCCCAGCCACATCCCTGATCCCAGGGAGGGCCGAGGCGGAGGCCCCTCGTGCTCCTGAACTGCCACTGCGCCCCGCAGAGCCAATCCCTGTGGAGGGGCAGAGGGTGGCGGAGGCAGCCCCTGCTGTGAAGCCAGCGATGGGTGTACAAGGCTCACCTGGTCCCAGAAGATGTGGCCCCAGTAGCATTCCCCTCGGCTCCCGTTGGAGAGGCCCCCGGGGCTGAGGCCATGGCAGACGTATCCTGGGGTCTGCGGCTGGGGCAGGGCACTGAGCAGGTAGTAGAGGGAGCCACGCAGGGCCTGGCGCAGGGGCAAAGGCCCCACCACGTCCAGGCCGCAGTGCGCCCAGAGCTGGGCCCAGGCCCGTGTGTGCGCCGTGTACAGGGCGCCCCGGGCCTGCAGCTGCAGGGCCTCAGTGAGGCAGGCTCGGGCCTCCTCCTGGTTGCTGCCTACCACGGTCAGGAAGTCCCAGGTTCTATCCTCCTCACCAGCTCCCAGGGTCAGGGCCGAGGGCACTGGTGTCCACAGCATATGCACCTCCTGCCGGGACCCCCCAGGCTGCTCAGGGGTGAGCGTGTGGCCATACAGGTACCTGCAAGAGAGCCGCGGTGCCTCAGGGCTGCACTCCCTCCCTAGGCCCCTGGGAGTGCCAGCCCCCTCCTCACCGGGCTCCCTGGAAGTCGGGCCCCAGATGCAGGTCCAGGTCTGGGCTTTCTGGGGAGAAGGCCGAGTGCAGCTGCACCGTGACGGGCCCGCCGCCTGGAGCCCCACGGGCGATGGACACGCTGAAGGCCAGGACGTGGGGCAGTGTGCGGTGGGCATAGATGCGCTGGGTGGCCTGGAAGCTGGGGCCCTCCAGGGTGTGCAGGAAGGAGCCTGGGGAAGGGTGGAAGGGAAGATGGGACCACCCAGGGAAGGCTGCCAAGCTGCCGGCCTCCCAAAGCCACAGGCCTCACTGCACTGTGCCTTGCTGGCTGAGCCGTCCCCTGACCTCCGGCCGCCCGTCCCCACAGGAGGCAGGCCCACCCTCAGACCCTCAGCTGCTCTCTCAGGGGCTACGGCTGCACAGGAGCCTCGGTTCCTGCCCGTCCAGGAGGCCCACCCGGCGGGAGAAGCAGGGGCAGCCTCGGCAGGCGGCCTCTTTTTCCTTGTGAGACTTGGGAGGAGACACGCTATCGGGGACACGGCTGGCCAGGGGGAAGCGGGGCAGGGGCGTGTGTGTGTGGCTACCTGTGTTGGTGTCCAGGGCGAAGGTCTCGGTCAGCGGCTCCTCCACCCCTGCAGGGGCGCCCAGCTGCACGTCGAGGGGGCTGGGCAGCACCGCCCGGTGTGCGTCCCCGCGAGCCCCGTTGTAGACGCCGCTCACATGCAGCACACCATGATACACGCGTGTGCCCAGGTAGGCGTTGGTGACGGTGGCCAAGAGCCGGGGGTCGCGGGGCAGAGAGCGGGCCACAAACGTGGTGGGGTCCTCGCTGGCACGCTCCATGGAGACGGCACGCGAGGCGGCTCGAGAAGGAGCTCAGACCGGCGGTCCAGCCCTGCAGCCGCGCGGAACCTGGCTGACGGCCCGCCGGGCCG